GCAAAGAGGGAGCGATTGGGGGATGCAGCGGCGATGCTGGACACAGAGTCCCCTTCTAGTGTCCGTCCATGGGGGAGCAGATGTTTGTGCAGATAGCTCCAAGTTTCATTTGGGATTTGATGTATATGGAGGCAGGAACTGATTTTTAATTCTAGGCAACAAGCTCTTTTGAAAGATGGAACTGAGGTCCAGCATATTAGGAATAAAAGAGTTTCTACTGCGCTCAAAAATAATATAAAATGAAGGAAGAAGATAGAAAAATCTTTTCTATCTTTTTGGTAGAAAAAGGGACCAGCATGGTGAGTTTAAAACAAATCATGCATTTCTGCTGWATTTTAGTAAAGAAGACAAACGCCAAATCCAAAATTATTGAACTAGTAGCAGCCATAAATATTTATCACTTGTGTATTCCTATGTACATATAGTAATTACAGCAAGAGGAAAAAATATTTTTCTTTACAATTAATATTTGTAAACGTTTATGAAAGTACATAACAAATAAATAAGACAAACACACAGCCTAATTAAGATGAAAGGGATGACAACCCTTGTGATTTGTTCTGGGAAATAAAGGATGTTAAAATAGTAAGACTTAATTATTTCTGTAAACATTTCAAATTGTGTTCTATGTAAAAAAAACCCTTAATTCATGAGATATATATTAAAATATCTATATGTGYGTTTGACATTTATACATCCCATCTCAAAAAGAAATTAGAGTTAATTTATTATTTATTATGCTACACRTTGTCTTATATTATCATTTATTAATAATTATTTTGATTCAGAAATTTAGAGTCCTCTGTTATTTATTGGGAAATGGAAAATCTTTTTATATATGATAGCAGTTTATTCTCCACATAGCAACAGAAAAAGAAACTTTTATCAGCTGAGCAGGTAAAAATATTCTCAGTAATAAAAAGGACTGATTTGTTTAACTTTTCATGATTGATGGTGCTGGTTCRTGTACGATTAAGGTCAGATTTGAATAGAGAACGTGAAGCCTCGTCACTGGAGTTGTCCAAATTGCTGGGTGGAAATGGAGGAAACTTCCTGCCAGTGGGAAGGATGGAGAAAGCAAAGAGGTCAGGTTTGTGTTGGGGAGCTTGAAGRTCCCGAGAAGGGCTCTTTTAAGCCCCGGGATTTTCTTTAGGATGAGCCTGGATCCTCTTGGGGTCCTTGCCCTGCTCTTTCCTTGCTGGGGTTGAAGGAGGCACCACCGTGGAGCACACAGGGATTTATGAAGGAAAAATCCTTTAGCACCTAGATTTTCTTGCTTYGCTTCGTATAGATGGAAACCTGTATCTGCCTTATTTTGTCAGCCAAGAATTAAAACAAAATAAAAGGAAAAGAGTGGATTCTTTTCCATTTTGCTGCTTTTTCTCTTGGAACGCAGCAATGCACAAGACGTGGCAAAGGTCGGGCGCTGCCGCGCGCGTCGCGGCCCGGCTGCAGAYGTGATGAGCTGCGTTCCCGCGAATATTAGTATGAATTAAGCAGATGCTTAACCTAATACACATAAGTAGTTCCACAGAAGTCCGGAGGACTTCTAAGAGATTCAAATTAAGCACCAGCTTAGTGGGACGGCAAGCTGGCCGCTCTCCARGGCAATGGGGCTCCTGCCTGTGCGATGGCTCTGGCTCACGGAGGAAGGTCATTTGTAGCCCACAAAAATACTTGGGAATATCTGGGGAGGAAAGCTAGGGTGGTCACTGTAGAAACATGACCTTCAACAYGAGTTTTTTTTCCCATAATTTGCACCATCTATTTATTGAAGGGTACTATATATATTATGTGTCGTAGTGCTGATGGGTCCAGATAAGGGTACTGTGTAATAGCAGTTTAAATGTGCTTTTTTTTTYCTTTTGTGAGATAGTAAGCTAATGATGTAGCTGTTAATTTGAATTTAGCAGACGTTTTAAATATAGGTTTCTCTTACAGAGACAAAAGTTGCAATTTAAAGCTCTTTGGTGGTCTAAAAACAGCTTAATTCTCTAGTAGCATGGTAATAAGTACTAATCCAGCTTATACAGTGATTGTAGTATGTCATGTTTGTGAAAGATTGCCTAACTCTGCTTTCTCTGGGTTTTATGTTAATTTTTTTAAATTAAACATAAAACCTTATAACATCTTTATGCTGAGATAAACTGTTCAATTTAACTTGTGCTCAAGCAGCAGCTGTCAGGAATTATCATGTTGCGAGCGCTCTTGCCATCACCTTGCGTCCCTACCTCCCGGATACGCGCGGTGGGATGATAAAGCTCACCTTGTTAGGATTTATTACTTAAATAATAACCTGAGGTAAAATGAGACTCGATGTCACGTCGCATGACAACTGACATATATTTATGTCGCGCGCTACATTATAATAAAGTTTCCTTTCTTCTCCGTGTAATAGGTGTTAAGTGGCGATAGGCTCCGGCGTATCCTCCAGTGCCCTGCGTGAGTCCATTAGCCACGAACACGGCTGCTCTGTGGGCATGTTCGCAGTGACTTGGCCTGTCAGGTGGCATTTAAGCTCACGAGGCCAAAGGAAACGTGTTTTTTTGCAGGGAGTTAACGGCTTTTGTGCCAGTCAGGAAGCAAAGATACCTTAAGTGCATCTCCTATGTGTGSGATTCCACTCCAGAAGCTCCAGGAAGTCGTGCAAGAGGATTGGGAAGGGTGTTTTGTAACGCTGTGACCAATTTAACTTTRTATTTTGCAGCGAGAAATATAAGCAGTGTCATTAGACGTTCTCAGTCTGAATTTGTGAGTAATTGCAGCAATTTTCACTTGCTCCTGCTCTGTTTGTGAGCTGGGCAGCGATAAGTGATCTGCTTGTCTTATCCCTCCCCGTTGCCCATGTGGAAGATTCCGRTCTACCCCTTCACGGCTCTCCTAGTTCATGTCCTTGCTTGCCTTATTGGATAGCAACCTCTTGCCCTCCAACGACGAGGAAGTATTCACCGACACTACAGGGATTCTTTTCCTGCCTTGCGGATTTCACCTTTTCCGTCGTTTCTGCCCATTCTCACTCTGCCCATCCTAGCGAGTTGAGCGCTTCCAGGGTGGCTTTGCCCGAGCCTGAACCCCGTCGCAGCGGCAGTGTTAGCCTTGGCACCCCCACTGGCTTCTCTTTCCACCCTCGCTCCCGTGTCTCGCGCCCTGCTGCCTCCCGACGTTTTCAATCCCAATGTGCCATGTATACATATATATATGGCTTTATTTTCCCTTTCCTCATTCAAATGCAGCCAAGTTTACAGACGCTCTTCCACATCATTCCAATTTCCTACATTGCTCACCAYAGAAAAAGAAAAGTTGACTAAAAATAAGTGTGATAGAGGGGAAAAAAAGAAAGCACAAACTGTGACACAATCCAGCAGTATCCTGAGTTTTGCCAAGTGTCTGTTTAATCTTTATACTGTAATATTTGATGTTCTTTTCCTCTCATTTGTGTTTTCCTCTTGCCCATTCTTCCCTTGCTCCCAAGCTCCGAGCAGGAGGGTTGCAGTGCYTGGGGGCAGCTTCCTTCCCTTGGCTGCCTTGGGCCTCCAGGTCCTTTTGGGAACCCGGGGGTTATTCCTCCGCGTGATAAATGCAGGATCGTCTTTGTAAAAACATTTCCTGGTCTCTTTATGGCTCTTAATGAAGCGGTGCTCAGGTCTTAATTGGCTTTCTATCTGACGGTGCCTACAGAAGAGCAAATATTTGACGAACAAGGGAAAAACATTCCTATCCGGCTTTTCTAAGCCCTTCGGAAGAGCAGCGTCGGCTCACGTTGGTAAGATGGATATAGGATCTGTTCTCTAGGAAGTGCTTGTTCCAGAGATACGGGTTACCCAGAGATGTCATAACCATAAATACGGTTATTCCGATCACTATTACTTGTGGCAACTAATCATTTATATGGCGATGTGGGGCAATCGGYAAGTTTTAAGGTTGACAACGAGAATCAGTTTCTAAGATCAGTGATGTCAGGTTAGTGGTATTCTGGAGCACTAAATCCATCCTAAAACAGGAAAAGCCGGGAAGATTTTAAGAGAAATAAACCTTTCATGAATCAAATTCTGTACTATTAAAATAGTGGACAGCAAAAACTAAAAATAAATAAATAAAGCCAGCAACATGCGCCATGCTGAAAAGTAATTTATTAAGGCTTAATGTTTTATGTGCAATAAATACCTGTTCTCAGTATTTTTATCCCTCGTGCTGAGACATTCCTAACGCGAATGGTCTAGAGCTCTGTGGCTCTCCATAGTTTCGGGATGAAAGYGGTGCTAGCCAGAGGACAGCAGAGCCATGCAGGGTTTGGGGGAAATGCTGGGATATTTGCCACTGTTTTCAGTAGGGTTGAGGTTTCACGACACATATTTAAATATATTCACTGTCTGATACTGAGTAAGTTGTACAAGACTAGGATCCAGGCTCATTAGTGTTGATTGTGCCCACTTTGTCTAATTGAGGGATGCATGTGATGCTGTGGGATGGGGTACAGGGATACAAACCACCTTTCATTATAGAGGATACCTTATAAAAAAGAGAAAATAAAACACAGGAAAAGGAGGGGGGGTGGGCTCCAACCATACCAGCTAAGTATACTGCATAAATCAAAAGGGTTTATGTCATAACATGAACATGTGCCATTCGTGCTCATATATTGAATTTCAGTAGTTGGTTGCATAAAGAAGTAAAGTGTAATGAAACTGGCAAGCGAAGTATTCCCTAGTCAGCCTTATCTTTGTTCCATTTGTCCTTCAGATACAGCTTTTCTTGCCTTTTTCAATAAAATCCATCCAGCTTTTTTTATTTTGCATCTCTCTGTAACTGAGCAGCGCAGACCAATGAGACTCGCGGCTTTTCTAGTCGAGTTCTTAGCAGCTGCGCTTTAAGAGATCAAAACTTTGAGTGCTGCTACATGGTATTAAGGCTCAGCCATTGATGTGTCCCCATAGGGGTTATGTTTTTCTTGAGGGGGGAGAGCGGGGAGGCCGCTGAAYGCTGCTCTCCTTCTTTCCTAGGCTCCTCTTCGCCAGCTCCGTGCTCAACCTGGCCGAGCTCGTGGCCCTGCGGCCCGACCTGGGCAAGCTGAGGAAGGTCCTCTACTTCCACGAGAACCAGCTGGTGTATCCCGTCCGGAAATGCCAGGAAAGGGATTTTCAGTACGGATACAACCAGATCCTCTCCTGGTAGGTGCTCCTTCTCCTGGGACTTCAGGTATTGGTGCCAATTTCCAGCATCCTACACCTTCAGTAGAGGCCATCTCTACTGGCACAGCACAAGCACCATCCAAAGCAGCTGCAGCCAGAAGTGCTTTGGTCCACGCTCACAGTAAATCGAGACCAGCACATAACATCTACACACTACGTTCATGCTTCCATAGGATACCCACTAGGTATCCTGTATCCTATTCCTTAGGATACCTGCAAATGCYGGCCTATGTCTTAGCGAGGCGCTCAGGATTCCTCCCGCACTGCCAAGCTGCAGCTCGGAGCCTTCACTGCAGCCAGCTGAAATTATATAGAGGGTTTTCTTAGGGAAATAAACAGAAATTAAAATGTACTGCAGCACTTTTCTCGAGAAGAGAGGGCAGTAAACATACCAGATAAATCCTTATATTTCTTTCATCTAGCATTCAGAGATTGTGCAGTGCTAAAATACCCAGACGTTTTAAAGGCTGTGTCCTTTATTGTTACTAAAAACAAATGCATTTCTGGAATCTAAGTTAATGAAAGAAGTTAATAACAGCAACGCGGAGGAGCTTTGTGGTTAGATGCTGTAGAAACCCAAGTGAAATGGCAGAACCGAGTTGTTTTGAATTGAAATAAATTCGTTTGTGTGATTTTTTTCACCTATCTGTTATTAGGCAATTATTAGGAATATGGATTGAGTCTTTTAAAGTGCATGTTAAGCTTTTGCATCTATAAAATATAAGCCAGTTGGTATTCAATTTTCTCAAATAATAATCTTTCTATACTCTGAACACTCTGTGGCTGCTTTTGCTACTGCATTTGCAAGATGTTTCAGTCACTAAGTAGCAATGATGTGAAAATATAATGAAAAATCTTTTGAAAATGGTAGCAGCCATGTTCAGATTTACTGACAAAAAACGTGCTCCTTGGTACTAGGGCAAGGAATATTTTTGTATATCCATTTTGCTTTCTCATGGCAGTTATGTTTTGGAACACAAATTCCTCTCTTGTGAGCTGTCATTAATCCTCAAAATGTTCATTTTTAAATGAAAAATTATGTTCTTTTGCCTCAAAGAAGGAGACCATTATAGATGCTTGGTTCTGCCTCCTGCAACCTCCAATAACATCTCTGTGCAATTATGTAATATTAATCTTTCATTTCTGTTGCTGCAGAAGTCACATTTTTAATAGCAAGTAGAAGACATCTCCTATATTGCTCCCAACTACCTAGTGGACATTTGCAAAGAGTGAAACAAGCTGCCTGCTTTTTTTGTTCTTTATAAAGTATTTATGAATACTTTATACTATTAGTATATCACATAGTATATCTGTATAGTGTTAGTTACCATTAGTATTTCTTTTTAGTATTTCAGTGTTTCCTTCTGATTCTTTCTGCCTTCTAAATCTGTTATTAGAAAAACTATAGGTAGGAAAGTTGTTCCACTTTTGCTTAGAGATTTCGGAGACCATTCCAGGTGGAGCGTTTTGGGTGAGTGTTTGGGATCATTAAGAAGGAGAAATATTCTTTTTCATGCCTCTAAAGGGTTTAGGTCGGGCTGGGAATAAACTCACACTTTTACCATGCCAGAAATGCCTTTGCTCCTAAGTGCTCGGGCAGGTGCGATGACAGGATCTTCCCAGTCCGCCAGAGAAATGCGGAGCCTCCGGGAAAAAAAAATAGATCTGGAGACAGGAGACTTAATGCACAAGACAAGCCGAGATGAGAACGTTGGGAGCCTTTGCTAAATGTCAAGGAGCAGCAAAAGAGCAGCGCGGCGCTCGCGCCAGGTCCCGTGTCGCGTGTCACTCCATGCGCAGAAGGCGACCGGATCGCTGGGGGATGCTGAGGGAAGCGCGGGGTTAATCCTACGTGGGGAGAGATTTCAGGAACATCTTGGCTCCCCTTGCCCGGCTGAAAAGGATTCTTTCTCTCTCTGCTGCTTTCTTGCCTCTCCTGCTGCTTTGGGAGCAGTGTGGGCTTCYCTCCTGGACCAGGCAGTGGGGAGATGCAGGGAGGATGAATGACAGCCTCTCACCTCAAATATACTTCTCACCAGCCCAGTGACTTATGAACACATGTCTTCAATGCCTTTCATGACCCGTAGGTCTGTATTACAATATATAACATATTGAGAAAACCAGCTAGCCATAAAACGTTTCTTACCTCGCTTTGAGCCTTGCGTGTCTGCAGTACAGCGAAGGATGTGTCAGCCCTTCCGGGGTAAAGTCCTGCAGATTTCAGTCTTTTTGGTAGCTTTTCATTCCTCCAGACTGAAAATTTCCATGGAAAAATAACACCTAAATGATCATTTAACTGCATCTTAAAATTATTGATCTTGCTCATTTGAAAAAAATGGCACTATGGACCAAAACATCATGTTAATATACCAAATTATTTTTCAGTTTTACTTTGCTGCTATGTGTTATATCTTTATGTTTAGTAAATGTACTCTTAGTGGAGTTTATGTACGATGTAGGATCAAAAAATAAGTAATAATGTGCYATTTCACTATTATTCTCTAATTCTCTAATGCACAGGGTCTTTTTTTGTTGTTCTTTTTTCCTGGTAGTAAATCTCATTAAACTTAACCACTTTTTACAGTTTGGTTGCCGATGTCGTTGTGTTCAACTCTGCTTTTAATATGGAGTCATTTCTTACATCTATTGGAACATTTATGAAGCTGATTCCTGACCACAGACCTAAGGATTTGGAAAAAATAATCCGACCAAAGTGCCAAGTTCTTTATTTTCCAGTCAAATTTCCTGATGTGAGCAGGTCAGTACCTTTTCCATCTCGTAAGTTCTCTCCAGTCTGTCAAAACTACCTGTTTATTGTGAAGTTTCAACCATTCAGTTAAAGCTTTCTTAGTTAAAGACCTAATAACGTACAAAAAGGAAGCGATTGATCAWTTGGTTTCTATAATCACAGGCTGTTCGGATAGATGCTGATCCACCAGCGCTGGCACGAGAGGTGTTGCCAAGCACGTCCTTGGGCACCTCATGTCAGACAAAATTATATAGTTCAGCAAGAACTATTTCCCAGCTTGTTGTAGTTTTTAAAATGTTGACTATTCCTCGTCCCTGTGTGTTTGTTCCTACCGAGGAGGTCAAGGAGGAGAAAGAAATTCTAGAGAATAGCAAAAGTGATAAGTCTGTAGTCAGGACGCTATATTTCCCTTGGTATATTGTAGTGGGATTTTATTCCCTCCTTCCTCCGCTACCTCTTATTTTATTGCCTTCCAGGTAGGTGAAAAGCATTGCAGTAGCATGGAGCAGACTTGAATATTTTGGCATTAGCCGCAGTCCTAGATGCTCTTCAGTCTTCCTCAGTTACTCTGAAGGACGGTTTTTATTGCCCTTGTTTCAGAGCCCATCTTGAAATTAGCAGTGGGTTATGTGGCTCAAAGGGAACATTCGCTCGATCCTTTTCACTTTTGATTAAACCTGGCACGATTGTTTCTCCTATTACAAGGAACTCTCCTCCCACTCAACAGGAACTTTGCTTCAGTGGGACCGGTACTAAATAGAGATAGTATGATTCTGCAATTTGATTATACTCCTAAAAACAACATGATGCCTGCTGCATTTTTTGCTGAAATGAGGACAGAAAGCAGTGTAGTGACTCTGCAGGAGTCTGGCTTTGGATATAAGAGCGCGTTTGGGCCCCTGACCGGCCTGTGCTCGCAGGTTGTTTCAAGGACAAAATGCACGTTTGCAGGAGTTGTGGGCTGTGAGTTTCCTAGGACGGGGTTAAGGTCAGGYGCTGTGTCAGTGTTTGCGTTGCAAGGTTTGTGTTTAAGGAACTCGGAAAACATCATGTTCCAAGCACAGTTGCAAATGAGTTAAAAAACAATGTCTAAAATTAAACCTTTTGACGAACGGGATAAAATCCTGCGGTGCTGCATAGGTGCTCCTTGGGTCATTGTAAAATGCTCTTGGGTGCTCCGAAGCACCTGAGCCAAAGGCTGGTATGGAGGTGAAGGTGGGATCATTCAGTGTTACACAGCTGAGGTGTTTTGGTCTTGGCAGCCTCGGCAGATGGGGTCAGACCTGGTGGATTCTGCCCATGCCGATGGGCCAGTGTCCTGCCTGTGCTCAGTGCTCTCCGCTCGGACTGGTGGGGCAAGAAGATCCCATCCTGCCGCATGGTCTCCTTGATCCATGGTCTCCAGCTGCCTTTGTGCTGCATCTTGCCTTGCCAAGCACGACACCTTTCACAGTTCCCTTGTAGCTGTTGCTCTTGAAAATATTATCTAAATATTTATATGTATTTGTTTTCCATATGAGATGGACAAAACTAAGATGCTGTGAGGCAGAGCTGTGTGACTGCACAACTTGGTCAGCACAGGGATTAGAAACACCCATGAATATCAGCACCAGTATTTCTAATATGCAAATTATTCAAATACGAGCTCTGGATATGAAGTTCTGATTTTTTTTAGACAAAAAGTAGTATCCTAACAGCAGAAAGGGAAGCACAGGAAGGGATTGCTTTTGCATAACTCTGAGCTCTTTGCGTTTTGACCTTCAGCTGCATCCAGCATTCACTGTTTCTCTACCAGATCATGTTTTAAATAATGTTGAATGCACCTGTGGCAATGGAATGCTGTTTATTAATTTAGACTGTATCACTATAGCGACTGAATGGAGATTGAGGAGAAAAAGGTTAAGAAAAATTGTGGCCAAGCTAAAATTTATAAAGCAAGCTCTTAGCCCAGAGTGTTTTCAAGTTATTTTCAAATGGTAATTTGCTTTATCCAAACCAAACTCATACAGTGTAAGTAAGTGATTATTTGCATGACTGACAATCATTTCAATGCCTGCAGTCTTTTTAAAATGCATAATTTTGCTGAGATGTTGGGAAAATATTTTAAAATTCTGAAGGCAAAATAACCAGGGTGATTTTTTTTTCTTTGCTGTGACCTCTTTTATTTCGTGTATGAATGTCTAAGGGTATGTTTGTGTCTTAAATGTAATTTTTATTTTGATTTAGAAGGGAAGTGATCTGACCAAAAAAGCATCCTCACTGATATGATGGTGATGATAGTTTTAAATTATTTTCCATTAATATTGTCATTATAGGGCAAAGTAAAAATAAATACATCTAACCCTTGATCAAAACAGTGTAATRCAAGAGCTTGTCACATGAGTAAATGCTGTAATGTGTTTACCTTTTAATGTAATTACCGCAGATGATTAGTGTATAAAATAGCACAATCAGCACAGTAAATGATCACATGAGAGTGYAGGTATAATGATGCTCTGATAGTATTTCAGTGCAGTGAAGAACTTAGCCTCAGAACTGCTTCTGAATACTCTTAGATGTACCATTATACGTGTGCATAATATGCATTTAGATACTTCAGATGCCCATCTAATCATTGCCTTTTTACTTCCCGGAGGGACTTATTGATGCTTTTATGTGAAATACTTCTTTTTATTAACAATTTGTCGCAAGGGCACACAGTGACGCTCCCAGGGCACACAACCAGACCGTGGCCCTTATCTGAAAGGAGGAGAGATGGAAGGATTTGAGGCTTTGCTAGAATAAGAAATTTTTGCCCTAATCCTCCTGGTTTGGGGCTGTGACGGGGCCCAGCTTGCACTRTGCTCTGTGACAAACACTCTGCCATTTTCCACTCCAAATTCCCCACTTTATGCATTCTGATGAAGTATGTGATGTAGAAATAAATATATATCACAATACTTTTGAGCTCACAAGCGGATAAAATGCCAAGTTAAGGCTGTCGCTTCCTAGTGCATAGGTGCTGCAAGAGCTGTAGAACAGTAGGTGATTTTACATGCCATATGTGCTACCATCCTTAACAGCAATCTGCATTAAATACATCCTAGCTCAGACCTACCTTACATTGTCATTTGTTATATTTCATTATACAATTCATATATTTCATGTTCCTTGGTGTCGCGTTGCTAATGAAATGCTGCATGTGATTTTTTTTCCTGTCAATGTCATATATATGTATATTTTTACAGCCGAACACGAGGGCCCAAGAACAAAACCCCCTTTCTCCCGATGCTGTCTTTGGAACTCGCCTCTCCAAATGCCAGTGAGCATCACTGGAAGAGCAACACCCCTAGCAGTTCTTTGCTGGTATTTTGTAYTAATTCCCTCAGTCTGGCTCAGGCTTTGGCAATAGGCAAGGCTGGGTCAGGCTCTATCTATATCCCCCTTGGAATTCGGTGCAATGCAAACTGTAATACAGATTTTGGTTATTATTACTGTTCTTCTCATTGTAGTATATCTTTGCTATTATCGTGAAGTGCTGGAGAAGGAGAGCGTTCTTATAAGCAAGAGTGAAGCGAGGTTCCTCAGAGCCTACAGTGCACATTGGGGTAAGGTGCAATAATATAAAAGACAGCACAAGAGGCCTAAGATTACAGTAGAAAATAACAATTTCTTCTTTTTAAGTGAGACTTGCTSGTTGATGCCTTGTGCTATTCGCACTGCACATTTTGAAGCAGATTAAAGATTTTAGAATGCTGTTTCTTAATTTGCTTTTGTAACATAGAGCAGCTAACAGGGCGTCTCAACCGTTTGCTTTTACATTATTTAGTTATGGTGTAAGAGAGGCAGAATTTTCCAGTTTAGAGAATAYTTTATGGCCAGTCAAGGGAGTTCCTGACTAAAGCGCAAGTTTTTAAGAGGCTCTGACAGTATCTCTTGTACAGAAACCAACTGTCAGGAAATGCCTGGTTTGGGTAATAATAGTAAAAGAGGTCACTTTCATCGTTCGGATCAGACTCGCAGTGCTCAACTTCAAACCTCTTCATAGATCGCTGAGAAGTTCCCCCTTCTTCTGTTGCACTGGCAGCTTGCAATAGCTCTGCCGTGCTGGAAGACACAGATGCCAACGGTGGGGACAACACCTGTGGAGAGGAAAGTGCAATACTGGCCTCAAACTTGCATAAAATGGAGCTTTTAATTGGTCGAAGGTTGGTACCTTCTGTAGCCCGGGGCAGAGACCTGCAAGTGGCGCAAAGGATGGGGTGTTAAACACAGGCGCAGGATTCACCCCTCTTGCTTTTCTCTTCCTTGCACATGTGCTTTGGTGGTCTGTGGGTTCCCCTCTGCTCCGAGTGGTTTTCCAGAGCGGGATTATGCCGGGATCCCCCTCAGCATAATGCCATCGATGCCCTCCTAGAGGAGGACCTGCCCGAGCAGTCTGCCGGGATGTATTTGTTCGGCAAAACTTCCGAAAACTAATTTCTTTTTATCTATTCAGAGACAAAGAATAGTTTTCCTGAGTCTCTTTTATCTGTCGTAGAGGTATTGAACTAAATGCTATCATAATAACCATTTAGTCCCACAATAGCTCACAAGGATACTTAAGCAGAATTCTCTGTGCAACCTAGTTTTTTATTATGTTGGGTACTGCTCATGTTGCATACAACACATTCCCATAAAACTTGCATTTTGTATTTACAGAGAAATTTCTCTGGAGAGTTCAGGTCTTGTAAAACATTCTTGTTCTACAGCATGAACGAATTATTATACTCTGGGGCATTAAAAGTGAAGTGTACTGAAGAAAAGAATTTTTTCATTAAAATGCAGTTTATATTGATAAAACAGATTACTAGCATTTGATGAAATGTGAAACTTGGATCTACCCGTATCGCTAAATCGCCAGTAGGTTTATTTTGGCAAGAAGAATAGTATGTAATGTATATCAGGACCAATCACTATACAGTACCTGTTAGTTTTGTATTAGATTAAATTGTCTTTCACTGAAGTACTTGCAAAAAAACTACTCTATC